TTCACACCTCACTGGAATCCCAGTTAGCTTACCTCGAAGAACACCTTGTTGAGCTCCATAAACGCGACCGGCTTGCCGGCACACATCCACCGGCCGTAGCCGAACACGAGCTCGACATTGCGCTCCATCTCGGCGCGCGCCGCCTCGTCCGTTACCTCGAGGAAGCGCTCCGGGCGGAAGACGTCGGCGTCAGCGCCGAATAGCGCCGTCGAGCGCACCAGCGCCCCAGTGTTCATCCCGATCGCCGTCCCGCCGGGGATGAAATGCCCGTCGATCACGTCGCCCTCCGGGGGCACGGACTTGGGGTAGAGGCCGGGGGCGGGAGGCCGCATGCGGATGCCTTCATAGACGAGGGCCTGGGTTGTGTTAAGGGTGGATTAATTAGTACCTGTAGCATAGAAAGGCTTGTATGTACTGGTACACGTCTTCATCTGCTGGAGTGGTGGTCCTCATAGAAGCGATCGCAAGGTTCTTACCTGCAAATAAGGAATGCGCTTCGCTTCTTCAAACGTAATCGGACTGGATGCCTGGCCAGCTCGGACCACTCGCATGATCTCCTTCTTGAACCTGTGATACACCTGTGGCGTAGTCATCAGATAGAGCATGGTGGAACGGATCACGGAGGATGTATTCTCGAAACCGGCGATGATCATGAACAGGGCCTCGGTGGCACACTCTTGCCGATCAAGTCCGTGGTTGATAAAGGCGCCCTAGTAAGTATTTGCCTGTCAATTCCCTCCTCTAACTACGTAAAGCCAGAGACAGAAACTGAGGAATACCTACGAGCATATCCTTCTCCTGCTTCGCGTCGGGACCGAACCGCTTAGCCACCACCTCCTCAGCTATCCTGTCAAAGGTTGGTTATTATTCAATCGAATAGTAGTGCACTTGATTCGATCATCGAGCCGCACGTCTATCATTTCTTACTTACCCCATGAGCTTTCCCAGTCCCGAAGTATCGGTCGTCTTCGGTCCGAAGAGCCTGAGGTACAGTCGCGAGAACAAAATGTTCCGGATCCAAGGCAGGTCGAGGGCGATAGCCAGCGAGGGCCAGGTCTCCCTCACCCCGGCAAGGAAGCCGTACACGTCAGAGTCCGTCCTCAGGTACCCAAACTCCTTCCCAAAGGCGGACCGCGTGATGGTGTCCATAGCGAAGAATGACGTCAGCTCCGCGAACTCGACCGGGCGCGGCTCCGCGGGCGTGGACAGGTACTTGCGCCGGAGCAGGAGCAGGAGTTCACGGATCTTCCGTCGGTCGATAAATCTAAGCGTTAATGAAATATTGTAACGCACGCATATTCACGCACTCACATCCTCAGCTCACACAAAGTCCACTCACCTGATCATCGATCCCCGGCTCCAGCGCGGGCGTTTCGCGCCCGCCGTACGCGCCCGCGATCTTCGCCTTGAAGCGATCGTGCGCGTCGGCGCCGAGGATGGTGAAGACGTTGTCGTGGTAGGGGTCGAAGCGGGCGGCGAGGTACCAGGGGTCGCGGCCGTAGGCGCTGCGGACGCCGGCGACGCGGCGCAGCACCTCCGGGTCGTCGGTCGAGAGCTCGTTGGGGCCCACGCGGATCAGCGCCGGTCCACTTCTGCCCTCCTCCCCTTCCTCGTTGTTGTGGCGGTCGCGATAACGTCGCGGCAGGTCCCGGTACACCCAGAACTGGCGCCCGCCCGCCGCTACGCGCGCTAGCCATAGGTAGGAGATCGAGGCGAGGAAGGGGCCGGGGATGTGTCGGAGCCGGTACCAGGAGGCGAAGGTCGTGATGGCGAGGTAAAGGAAGAGCGCTGAGGTTAGGGCTAGGAAGGCCGTGCTGAGGCTGATGTTGCTGCTGCTGGCGGATGGCCACAGCTGGCCTAGACTTTGCAAATCCATCGAGAGGGGGTAGGTCAGGGCAGTTACTGGGAATCAACTTCGATAGTAAGTTTACTATCGTGGGATGATTTACCCCTCCGCCGTTGAAAGGCGATTTAATCGAAATGTAAGGCGGAGAGATCTACGTCTGTAGTATTAATCAAGAGTATCTATTGAATGATATATAGCTATGTTACCTTCGACCATATAACCCCAAGGTATCTTACGTCATGTGATGAGTGATCTTCAACTGCGCTCTGGTTCGGTCTGCAAGCTGACCCTATTTACGCGATAGTTAATTTGGGGAGGAGAGGAGAACAACGGAATCTGATGGAGTATCAGCCTATAATGCCCGTCAAATATGAAGTTGTCTTACCCATGGGCCATGGATGCTGCTCACTGTAGCGTTTCATTGCATATGCAATGGCATGTGTCACCTTACGTCCTATCCCTGACCAATAGAAGACTCCTCATTAATCCGCTCTTGGTCCGGTCTACGGAAGAGTAGCAACTCGAAGACATGAGTTTATGGGCTTAAAGGATAGAATTGACCATAATATCTTCAGTCTACAATGTCGTCCAGATTCGGCCATGTGGTTATCCTAAACTTATGTAAGTGATCGTGACCATATACAGACAGCTGCCGAGGCAATCAGATTTAGACCAGTGAGGAGAGCATACATTCCTGGATACGTGCACGGAAAATGGTGCGGAAGGAGGTTGAAACGATCAGGGGCTATTGACTACCTACGATGTTATATATAAGGGCTGATGACAGTATATAGGTCAACTCCCTTGTATCTCGCGCATTGAATGTATATAACCCAAGCTCATGCCCATGCTCATCCCATGATATGTATGTTAAGTATCGTGAGCCCGCGAAGGTTTGCAATATGTCGAAGAATACCTGGCGACTATTGACTCTAGTATCAAGCTGAGTTCTGAGTCTGAGGAGGTCGGGGGTTCTGCGCGAGATAGTATCCAAGCAGTCATTCACATGACACTCGAGCCATCTCCCAAGTGAACATGCCAACTGAATATGAATGCATCGACGTAGCTTCCGTGGCATTGCACCTTTTGCTAGAGCACAGCAACACCCGATCGGTCATCCGTATTGAAGAGCCGCATCTCCGATTGAGCACAAAGGGCAGCCGGGCAGTACCAAGTAGCCGCAAGTTCAGCCTAGCAGATGACAAGCTGTTCACCTAAACCACCAGTTGACAGAAGCGTTCAACACGCCCGCCCCATTGCTCCTGACACTATGCCACCAGCCCTTCGGAATGAACATGGTATCGCCCGGCCTCAGAACAGCCTGCTGCATATCCGCCTGCCCCTCCTCCACCACGGCATCCTCTCCCTCGCCCCAAACCGCGCGCTCCAGCGCCTCCCTCTCAACCCCACCCATCATCTCCGCGCCCCGCAACCTCGAATTGGCATCCCCGCGCATCCCGACCTCAGCGCGCACGCGCTCGTACAGGGCCTGGCCCCGCGCCGGCGGCAGGATGCGCACGTGCTTCTCGCCGAGCAGCTGGCAGAACAGGTTGGGGTTGGGGTCGCGGTGCAGGGGCGTGCAGGTCGGCTCGAGCCCCAGCCAGACGCTGGACCCGTAGATGTCGCCGCGGCCGGCGCCGTGCACCAGGCCCGGCGTCGGCAGGTCCTCCTTGGCGAGGTCGCCGTCGCCGTTGCCGTCCTTGCCGCCGTCCTTGCTCCGGCTCTTGGGCAGGTGGTCCACCGGGCACTGCGCGATGTACAGGCGCTGCAGCCGCGTGTGCGGGTACTGCCGCGGCCGCGTCGCGTTGAACTCGCAGGCGCGGGCGAGCAGGCCGAGGGGCGCGTAGAACTGGCGGAACTCCTGCTTTTGCGGAGTCGAGGAGGAGCCGGAGTGGTCAGCCGAGTACGACGAGGGGTCGTCGTCCTCGTGCAGCGTGGAGGGGTCGGCGAGCGCGGCGATCAGCGACATCAGCGGCAGGTACCGCTCGTTGCTGTGGGCGATGAGCCAGGAGCGGAACTCGGTCAGTATGCCGCCCAGCGACGGGTACTGGCCCGGGATGGCCGAGGCCGAGGCCGCCGGGTCCGTGAGCTCGTAGGGGAAGATGGTCTGGCTGTACCGCGTCAGGCGCGGCGACAGGGTGTGGTCGCCGTGCAGGCCGCGCGGCTCGAACCACCGCGTCATAGCCGGCAGCTCGTGCGAGTCCCGCATCACGAGCGGGAGCTCCGGGTCGAAAGTCTCCAGACGGAAGATGAACAGGTTCACAGCGCCTTGTGTTGTGCGCACCTCTGGGATTCTGCGGTGGTTGCTGGTCTGCGCTTCTGCTTCCTCCTGCCCCTTGGGCGTTTCGCTGCCACGGCTGCCACCATCATATTCGCGGCCACTACCACCACTATCCGAAGAAGCGGGCCGGCGAAGAACAAAGGTCCCGCCTGGGGAGTAGAGTCTAGCGTGACATGATAATGGTGATGATGATGCGGGCCAGCGACAGCGGCGGGTTATTGATGCGTTGTTTCTTATCAAGGCATTCGTGGCCCTAGTCAATGAATGCATTGCAGTATTGCATTAGGTTTTGGAACTTCGAGCCATGACCTGTTGGTCTGTTTCGGGGGCGTCCATTCGTTGCACACGGCAGGCAATCTTTGGCATGTGCAAATAAATGTAGAGATACGCACGGACCACGAGGGGTCCAGTCCAGTCTTTTGATCGAGGAACAACAATAAGTTACTTTCCTAGGTACTTTGTCACTCTGTCTGGCAGCTCGTTCTTGGGTACGAAGTAGACTTTAGCTACCTGATCATCTCAACCTATTAGGCATGTAGAATGCACAGGCTGCAGAGACATAGACAGAAAACCCGTAAAAGGGTTAAGCTGCAGTTCGAAGTCTTACCAACGGAACTACTCCGTGAAGCTCAGTCACAGTTCATCTATCATCTATGTAGGTCACGGGCGCTAGGATACTCGCGATGGCTTATCGTTATCATGACAAAACCCAAATCTACATTACCTATGAACCTGTGAGCTCAAGTAAAAATATCCAGTCCATAATCAAGTCGTACATAATACGTGGCATACGTGGCATATCTGGCTGGGCAAGATAAAGATCAAAAAGGAATATGGAACAGAACTGCTTGATATCAAAAAGTAAAGTTGCCATGGACGCTGTGGGAATTGAACCCACGACCCTTCGCAATCATCATGAATAAACAAAGAAACAATGTTGAACAACTATTGTTACCATGTTCATACGAGATGCAAAGCGAATATCATACCCCTAGACCAAGCGCCCGGCTTTCTGGTTGGTGATCAAGTTTTTTGTTATCGAGTGCTATATATACATGATAGCATGTAGACTGTTTGTCACTTGATACTAATTGGTAGACAATTGGCAGACCGTCTTTGATACGCTGAATTCATTGGCCTGGTCTTGTCGCTAACTTAGGGCTTTGCTTACATTGGTGCAAACATCATTATAGCTACGTTAAACCTGATTGGCTGAAATCTCGACAATAGTCCTGTCAATTGGAGCACTAGGTGCTTAGACTATGGTAAGACTATGGTAAACCATTGACTGGAGGTCCTATAAGGTAGTTCAATACACTATAACTGTAGTACATTCAACGTTGTTGCTACCGTGAGCCTCTCATGTCTTTCATTCGGGATTGTTAACTTTGTCTTTTCAATTGAACCAATTCGTCCTTTGCTTTTTCGAGAAGAACTATTATACACCGTATTCATATGGGTCTGGGCAACCAGTCCACTTGTAATCTGGGGTAGGTACTGCGTAATCTGGGGGCGGGTGGTCATGGGATTACCATTACGGATTGTCTACGGATTGTCTATCCTACCCACCTGCTGCCTGCCTGCCTCCATCGTCTGCCTACGTAATGAGTATTGGCATATTACTATGTAAGGTGGTCGAGATAGACAGATCCCAAGGCCTCACTCCCCGTTGCACATAGCAACCCGTCGAGTGAACCACCGCATACGGCACTGCCGGGTGCCGGATCGTGGGGCCGTCCAGGCAAGCGCACTGTCACGACAGGAAACCCCAACCCATGATCTCTTTCCTACGGCCTCGCGCCTCGCGCCTCGCTTGGCGAGCGGTCAGCCGATATACAGAGACTTTTACTCTGTATGGCGACCACGGAACATCTGGTAGCGAGAGATCTGCACGGATGTTCGGTACCTATATCCCCCTACCTTCCATTATGGAACTGCTATGTAAGTACATAGTCGCCTCCATACAACCCTAGGCTTGACGAAGAGGTCCGGTAGCGCTATTAGATTTGGGGGAAATGGTTGTCGTAGTAATTAATATCAATGTGTGCTCCTTCGTACGGGATCTAGAATGTTCTGCTGTGTTGCGTAGGCCGCGATATTAACTGTCGCGTGACACGGCTTTGCCTGCTTGGCCGGTTTACACATCGACTTGGATATGGACGGAATTAGGAATTGTTGCGCACTGTAATAATCCGATAGTTGCGCCTAGTCACTTAGGTCTTTCTCTTCTGGAGGCTGGTCTTTGAACGGGAGCGTGCCGAGATCTTCAGAGATCTTCAGAGTTGGTGCTAACCGCCCTTGTTGGACTATTTGCTCGAGCCGGAGCGCCTTGTGCGGCTATTGTAGGTCGTTTGCTAGCTCCGTACACCGACCTGCGTCCGATGTGCGGGAATCCAAATCGTCACCAAGGAGTCATTCAGTCGGCCCGGCGAAGTCTACAGATCTACCTACCTACCCACCTATGAGAGCATGAAAAAACTTCAGCTAAGGACTTTAGTAGTTGTACGGGAGGCAAAATGCTCCGAGATTGTTACAACCCCGTTGTTTTGTCTTCATCGCAAACAAGTAGCGCTAAGGGATCGAGCGCGTTCTTTGGCATCGCAGGCGATGTATGCGTCGCAAGAGACTCCAACTCCTTCCAGGCGGCTCGAAATTATCCGTCTGAACTATCGATCAACCTGTATTATTAGTCACCTGTATCACAACGCTATATGCGTCTAGGTTGGGGTCTGTCAGATTTCTAAACCCCACACAATGGGGCTACATTCATAGCACCATTCACTTTTTGACAATCAACCCTCGTGTGACCATAGTTCCGAAGCAAAACTCGTACGATGGCGAGCTCGGTAGGAAGATTTCTATATGACCTTCCCCATACTCGGCGGTCGAAGGGTTGATCATGAGGACGGAATGGAGTGGGGAATCGAGGGGCACGGAGGGGGCCATATTCCCAAAGCACTGGCGTTCAATTTGCTCAGGCATTAGTTGGTTGAGAAGTTCCTTGCAAATGCAAAGATTTTGCGGGGTTGCAGCATGCTAGACAGGGACCCTGAAAAGAAATTGACTGTCAGGAACGAGACAGGACCCTGATTTGCCTGATGCAGAGAAATCCCGGCAATGACCCTGATATCTCAGCGATGCCGATGATAGAAACGGGCGTGAATAAATTGCCTAGCGGCTGTTACTGGCTCGAGGGAGAAGCTGGGGTAGTCTTGAGCGGGACGTCGATGCAACTCGAGACACCAAAGAGGGCAACCTCACCCACCTGGGTTAATTCATCCGCGGCGGGTATGCGAACTCAGGGTGGGCAGTATGCGACGCTGGGATAATAACTCCCTCGTGGTTATCAGTACACCATCAATGCACCAGTCATTCCATACATATGTGTGTAAGGCGGGGGCATCGACAGGTAAGGAAAGACAGAGACGAAGAAAGAGGGCGGAAGAGGCGGGGGAGGAGCGGGAATGGGGAAGCCTTTCCTTGGAGAACAATGCTGTACAATGCTGTACGTACAATACCTACAGTAGGTACGCACGGCAGGTAATGTGATATATGACTGTTGGGAACAATCTAATTGGTGGCCTGGCTATATTCACTTAGGTCCATGTTTAGATCTAGGGGACGGGAGGGGTGTCAGCTCTTCATCGCCGCTTACGGCGCACATCGCTGGCTAATGATGAGGGAGACTGCTACGTTAGCATACGATGGCAAAACTCGATTTGTTGGCGTATCTCTCGATGCCAGTAAGCCCCCATGGTCACAGTCACAGCACGGCTATTGCTCGATATTTGGGTGATTGATTTTTAAAAAAGGGGTAGTAAGAACTTGGTGGTAGGGGGTTATTTGGAGAGTGAGGTTATTAATAGCTGCACACTTTAATGAGTGTCAGATGGTGGGGGAGGGGAGAAGGGCAGGGCAGGGGGGCAGCAGTTGGGCTGTAAGATGAATTACGTAGAAATTGGAGCTTCGGACACCGAGGCTTCCAGGTTGTTATATCATGATGTCTGTAGGTACTCCGCAAAGCTAAATCTGATAAACTGAACAACTGCAAGACGCAGATGCAGTGCTTACCTAGGTGCCGGTATATTACCAAGGACCACGAGGCGGAGCCTGGATTCTAGAATGTCCAGAATATAAACTTGACAATCTCTCCTCCAGTAGCTGCAGAATGGCAGATGGCAAATGGAAAATGGCAAAACTGGACCATAGGCGTGATACTGATGTTTCTGATAATGCGCAGCGTCCCAAGTTTGGCCGAGACACCCTGGGACACGTAGGGCAGTGAGAAGGTTATTGGGCAAGAATACTGGGAAGAGGGGACAGATTGCAGGCACCTCAATTCCTACCACCTAAGATACACATACCTGCACATGTACATACATACATACTACATACATACCTACAGCATGAAGTTACGTAGTCTGCCGTAGTGCCTACAGTGAGGGTGCAAGTACCCATTGTAAGTACCCATCATCATCAAACAGTGGGGTAGACGTGGCCCCTTACCCGTAAAGCCGCTCCTCCGTCCTCCGTCCTCCAGTCGCTGCCAGCGCCCAGGTGTGGTGTCTGGGTGTTCACAACCTTGGAAGTTGCTCTCAACTCAAGTTTTGTCACCACCTGCAGGCCCCTGGTGAGTCTCGGAGTCTCTGTTACTGCGGTACTTGTGAATTGCGAGCTTCTGTCTACCAGAGAGATGAATTGCGGTATCAATTCCCATCTGCTCAGTGGTTTCCCCATTCAGCATGAGGCAAGTAGTACTTCCGATGTCAGGGAAACCTGCAGCCCGGCCAAGTAGACGTCTATCTGTCATGATTTCCAGGTACCTCGTACTCTAGCTTGCTCATTTGGTTCCCTTTTCTTTCCCCCTTCCCCAAATGCGATCTTTCCATGTGATCTTCCAAGCTTCCATATTCCCAGTCGTGCGCCAGAAGCCAGCCCGTGCCAGCCACGTACATACACACACATACGCATACGCATACTATGTACGCATACGCATACACATACACATGCACATTGTACACAACCTTGGAATAGTGACACCCTGCGCCAATACCCACAAGCAAAACACCAAACGGTCCGAACAGTCTCTATCGTCTCAAGTCCACGGCCCAGAGATGAGTCCAGCAATGGAATAAAAGCGGTCTGTCACACGACTGCCCAATCGTAAGGGGACTGCCCGTAGATGTCGGTGGGTTGGGCCCAAAGCTTTCCAGGGCCTTGTACATTGAGATCGAGACCAGCCAACCGAATATCCTAGACCGCACATATTCCATCCCCACCGGCCACGACATACGTACAGGCTACATGCTATACTACAGGCTACATGCTGCATACCTGCTACATAACACATACCCACACGTATATCGCGATCCATTTCGATAGAACGACCCACGCCCACGGCGGCCACGAACCACAACCCGCCAGGAGGGAAAAGTGCTGCCCAAGCTTCTTTCTCTCTCGCTTGTCGCCCCTGCAGGCTAACTCGTCTAGGGAATGGGCGAATTGAGCAACGGGCATTTGGATTTCACCGCATTGACAAGTGGTCGCGCTTCACAGGCCGGCTCCAGGAACGCTCCTACGATGTATTAGGAAGGCTTATCGAACATTTCGAGCATATCGAGCATTCACATATGACTGTGTAGCTTTCCCCTCTTAACTACATACCTACATACCTACCCTGACTTTCACGATCTACTATTATCTTGCTCCCTTCTCGGTCTCTGTTTCTATGTTATGTCATATTCCACAGAAGACCTGCAGGAACCCAGTCCCCAGTGCCTATCACTTGCCATTGATACAATTGATAAAATTCCAGGTTGTTGTGTGCAGAGACAGACTACAGCTACTCGCATAGTAGAGTAGCCCAGGTTGTTGGTATCAAGCATTGACCGAATATCATCAATACCGCATGATCTTGTGGTTGCTGAAACGACGTCGTTCCTGCCCTCACCACGATATTTAACAATCAACAATAAGCTATTGCCTATTGTCTACATTGTCGATTAC